TCCTGAAAGAAAATCAATAAGCCCTCCTTAGCCTCTCTTCTTTCCAAAGAACAAATTCTCCCATAACTGGCTCGAGTCAGTCAATCTGTACTCACACACTCCTCCTTCTCAAGGGAAAAGAAGAGATGAAAATGCAGAATGTGCGAGGATTCAGGGAAAATGAAAACTGTAGGAAGAGTGAATGTGGTCTGAATGCAAAATGCAGCTGTTAAGACTAAGCAGAGCCCGTGGAAACGTCCTTCCATGACCTTGGTGCTTCCCCATCTGCTGGGACAGGAGGGATGGAGGTGAGGAGAAGGCGGGCAGGGAACGCGACCTCTCCTGTGTGCACCCACCACAGGCTGGACCAGGCTTCGACGCGTGGACCCCCGGCCAGGCTGGAGACAGCAGGACTTAGCCTGTAATCTCAAGGGCCCAGACATTCTCCAGGATTACAGCAGTGGGTGGGCATGGGGTGGTCCACCCTGTGTTTGCCTCTATTTTTTCTGGAGGACACCGAGGCTGCATTGAGGCATCAGGTCAGTGCTAGAACACTCTCCTCCCGCGGAGAGACCCCCGGCACTTTCCCAGGTGAGGGAGCCTCCTGCATGTCTACACCCACCTGTCAGTGGTGCTGCGATGATGCTGTTGACTGAGCTTCCCGACTAAGGTGGACTGACGGTGCTGAGAACCGTGTAGTCCGCACTGGCCCCCAGACGACCCTCTAGCAGGTCTTCACAGGCAGCAAATAGCACAAGGGGGCTCATCATTCTACTCCAGAGCAGCTGGTGGATTTGAACCGAATACCGTTGAGTTTGCAGCAAAGCTCCTTACCAGTAAGCCACCAGAGCTCCCTCCAATGGGCTGATCCCGTTGTAAACGAGGCCCAGGTGAACGGAACCAGCAGCAGCAATCACGGTGATGCAGCAGAACGGCTAAAGCACCTGGGGTCATGGGAACTGGACAGACAAGTTATCCACCAGGCTCGGGAAAAGCTGATTCTCAGGACTCTGTTAGCAATTCACTGTGGGCCGTGTGATCATCCCGGAGCACGGGTTGAAAATACAGAACGTGTAACACACGTATCGGGAAGTGCCACCTGCACTTTCTGTCACTAAGAATGCTTCCTCGAGCAGGCGAAGCATCCCAATCTGAAAGGAAATTCCATCCAAGGCAAACGCTGGTGGAATGAAGTCTGGGAAGAGTCCTGGGCTCACGGTGTGGAAGGGAGACGTGGCTGGCCACGGCGTGGGTGTTTTTCCTTTTTTTGCTTTTGGAGTTATCTTTCTGGCTGACAGGCGAGCACCGAGCACCGTGCAACGTAATGGAGTGCCAACCTTTCAAGGAAGAAAATGAAAGGAGCGCATGCTGACCAGGTTGTGAGCTCGCTTTGATGTTGCAGAAGGGAGGCTGATGCTAATCTCTGCATGTGGTAGCCTCTCTCTCTGTAGCAGGTCAATAGCCTTTATTTTAAACAGCTTTGCTTTGTGTGTTCTGCCCCAGCCCCACGGCTGTCTGACCTGCAGCGTCCTAATTTACAAACACAGTGGACAAAAGGGAGTCGAGGAGTGCCCTGGCCTGCATTACACCGAGGTGTTACATTAGGCTGTATCTCAGCGGGGAACAAAGACGCAGCCAGCTCTTTTCTTCGTTGCTTTCATGTTCACCTGCCACCTTGCTGCCTTCCATGCGTCCACATGCTTCCCCTTCCCCAGTTCTGCAAACCCCAGGAATGACCTCCAATAGGGCGCAGAGCTGCTTGGGTGGCCCCCTGCCCTGCTGCATACCATCCCTGCACACAGAATAAAGAGGAGATGTGCTTTTATCTGCCACAATTATTCTATCCAGTGTTGTTGATCGAAAGCAAGTATTTTTTTTTCTTTACTGGGTTTAACACACAAACAAAAATTTCAACTTTTCATTGCAACAAACCAAAAAAGATAGTAACAAAAAAGAAAACTCAGTGCACTTTCAGAGAGCCTGGGTGATGGCAGGTTTGCTACAAAGCACATACTCTTTTTAAATTTTTTTTAAAACTTGTTTTATCATTTAAATAGCTATTCCTGGTTCAGCAAAAAAGTCCAAGGTGCTTCCTCACAGAGGACTGGCCAGCCCACGGATCGGCAAAGATCACTTAAGTACGTCAGAGCTCTCCTCAGAGCCAAGGCGAGGGACCCTGGCTCCCACACTTGGGCCATGTTAGGGGGAGGACCCAGTCCTTGGAGAATCACATCATGTTTGGAAAAGTGGAGGGTTCGAGATAGAGAAGACACTTTCCAGCAAGCTAGAATGCCAGTGATGGCAGCAAGGATATTCAGCCCAGCAGAGACAGGGACGCGAGAGATGGGATGCCGTCTTGGTCTGCGAGAACCAGTAGATCACAGCTTCTCTTCCAGAACCTGTCTCCTCCACCCTGGGAGTCTCTAGTCCCCAGCCCAAACCCCCAAGTTGGCCTGGAGCCCTGGACCAACACCACCTCATCTTTCCAGGAGCTGTTCTTCAGGAGCCCGGGGCAGAGACCACCTTCCTTCCTTCCTTCCTTCCTTCCTTCCTTCATGGCTGGGTTCTTTGCCAGACACTTCTCTATGCTCATACGCTAAAGCAGCTTGCAGGCTACAGTCTTACCCAAGAGATGAAACTGCCCGTCGTCCTTCCCTGCACGCCCACCGCCCTTCACTGCACGCCCACCGCCCTTCACTGCACGCCCACCATTCCCTAAATGCCCACCACCCTACCTGCCCTTCCCTGCACCCGTCACACCTACCTGCATGCCCACCTCCCTACTGCCTTTCCCTGCATGCCTGCCATCCTTCACTGCACACCCACCATTCCCTAAATGCCCACCACCCTACCCGCCCTTCTCTGCAACCGTCACACCTACCCGCATGCCCACCTCCCTACCCTGCATGCCCATCACACCAACCCGCATGCCCACCACCCTACCCGCCCTTCTCTGCAACCGTCACACCTACCCGCATGCCCACCTCCCTACTGCCCTTCCCTGCATGCCCGTCACACCTACCTGCATGCCCACCTCACTACCGCCCTTCCCTGCATGCCTGTCACACCTACCCGCATGCCCACGTCTCTATCCCCTTCCCTGCACGCCCGTCACACCTACCGCATGCCCCCCTCCCTATCCCCTTCCCTGCACACCCGTCACACCTACCCGCATACCC